AGCACATGGAGTTCTTTCTAAGCTTTCTTTGATTATGTGTTCATATAATTTACCACAAATCAGTGCAAATACATCACAATTGATATCTGATTATCTTTTTTTTTTCAAAATAACTACATTTTAGAAATATATGAGAAAGCTTTGTGAATGTTTGGTCTTGCTCAGATCTCTGAATAGATCATTGAAGAATGGAACTATAGCCTATAATAAGGAATCATCTATAATTCTCCCTAGGGAAACTGACTATATCTGAGACATACCTCTAAAATATAAATGTGGTTCTCATATACAGCATCATGTCATGGATGCTGCTAGACTTCGGGGTCGTACTTGGCTACTTGCACCACTTTTTATTGAACAGGCATTTATTTATTCTCCAAAATCTGTTCTTTTGTTGGCCTTCAAATTGACTATCCCTTAAATAAAGAGGAACATATTGGGGGGGTTTCACTTGCAAGTGATGTAATGTACAATGCTGGTATATAGCGTATATGCTACGCTCTCAGTGTCCACATTTCGACGATAGTTGTTACAAATTGATACTAATGACACATGAAATGTTTTATGAAAAAATATAAGTAAGAGAAAAATGATCAGTAGTTATAGCTTAGTGCCACTTTAAACCCAAGGTCATCGGTCAATTTTTAGACTTTTATTTCACTACCTCAAACATAGAAACAGAATTGCATCTTACACATCATCTTTCTTCTTACAGAACCACGATATCACAAATCACAATGATGGGTGCTGATAGCAATAGCAATGCCTGTGTCGCTGGTGCTGTACTAGGATGTGCATATGGATACAATAAATTGCCCAAATCATGGCTAAATGGTTTACTTCCAAGACAAACTGAATGGTTGAATGTCAGAATTAATGCTTTATTGGATATGCTAGGAATCCCATGAAAATAAATCATATACATAGAAATTCAAGGGTTCATAAACCTAAGGGCTTAGTTGATACAGTAAATAATACTAGATCTCTATAGAGAATATATAAAATGGTGGGTCACTGGATTAGAAAGTACAAACTTCCCACCGGATGAATTTTCAATTGTTACTGTGTAATATATACATGCTTTCCAGTTTATTTCCAAAACCAAAATCACATTTTTTTTCCACGGGTGTACACTTGTTATCAGTATGCTTTGAGTAGGGATTAATATTACAATCTATCGTCATCACTGTTTTTTTAAAGGTGACTTTCCATTCTGCAGGTTAACTAGATCAAAATATGGTTATAACACGAGATATTGATTATTCAAATATGCATGACTGAATCAAGAATTTTTACCCAAATTTTCAACATGCTTTAAACTGGATATGAGTTTTTTATTTTCATTTCTGACATTAATTTTATTATTCAGTATTTGTTTGTTCACACTATGCGCTGCATTTATACATCACCCATATTGAAAATGGCAAATGTGCTTCTTTATCCTGAAAACTACTTTTATATTCAAACTACTCGTTCTTTCATGTTTCAAAATTTGTTCATTCATGTCAAACGGAGCTGTCTTGTTTCTGGTTTCGTAAGGTGTAAATACGATTATGTTTCTCTGGTGCTACTTCTGATTTGTCTGTTCAAGTACAGTCTTCTAAAAAAATTATATTTTTTTTTTCAAGAAATGAGATATATTTATGGTAAACACAATTGTACAAAAAAAAGTAATTACAGTGCATGTATTTGAATCTTATTAGTAGTGTCAAAGCCGAATAAAATAATTACATACATATAGATTACGAGGTTATTACAAGAATACAGCAAAGTATACAACAAAGGCAGTACGGCATACATAAAGGTCATTGAGACACTGTACTGCCTGAGTGTATACTTTGCTGTATCTTGTGATAACCTTATTATATGCATTTTTTCGGCTTGTAGGTATAATTCAATGAGATATACCAGGACATTTTGCAAACATTTGCATTCAGTAACAGGAGTCTATTTTTGTTGCACGCTTTACCGTTTCTGCATCTAATGTAAACAAAAAAAAAAGTGTTCAAATGGTGACGTCAATAATCTTGAATGAGTCAATTTGCCAGATTTAATGGGAAAATTAGAACGTTTGAGTGAATGCAGTTACGCTTTTTACAGAACAGTAAATTCTATTGTTTCCATTGCTACATGTATAATAATGTATTATATGTTAATTAACCTGTAATTATCTTAATTACATGACCCTATATAATACAATTTATTATTGTGTAATATTTGTCAAAAGGCAACCATAAATATTTCCAGTCCACTGAATAATGTTGATGGGATTCTTTTATATACATTCTGTAAAATATGTGTCATATTTTAGCTAAAACATATTTTTGTGAATTCAAGATGTAGCACGGACCTTCTTCATATCTAATTTAGTACAAAGAATATTCTTAAAATAAAATTATGGAAATTTTTAGTTATATCGAGATGCCGTTAATGTATTGTGCAAATTTCATTTCAAAAAGTTGTTTATTTACAGTATAATTTATCATTCGCAATATTTTATTTTTTTGAAATTAAAATAATGGTGCAAAACTGATGTTAATATTGACAGATTGTTTATTTAATAGTTTGTTCTGTACTATAGGTTATTAATGTAGAATTTATGTCTGTCAAAATGGTGGTATTTCAAATGTATCACTCCACCTTTTACTGAGAAGTGTATTTTTTTTCATTTTAGGATGATTTACTAATACCGGTAATTAAAATGTCTTCACATCTATCGATATTTTACGTTTCATTCACACTTATGTTCCCTCTAATAAATATTGTATTGGTGTAAATAAATGCATATATATAAATATAATATCCTAAACACAATGAATAACTGTTTACATTTTATTGTTTGTGTTTTATTGACAGTAAAAAAAGTAGTCTTATCTGTACATCAAAAACCGATTTTTTTTTTATTGGGTAAAGTTGACGTGTCACAGTTTAGTTTTTGATAGTTTATCTTCTGCAGTTTCATATTCGAGCAGAAATTCTCATCACGAATGTGGGCACACTATAGCTGGAACATGCCAATTATAATATTGTTTGATACTGTATTATGTGATAAGAATTTTTTTTTTTAATGGGAAGCGGTGTTTTTGCTACTGTGCGCATTTAAAGTAACACCCCCCCCCCCCTACCAATACACCCACCATCTAATGTTGAGATGATTCACAGTCAATTCGTCCCAATTCACATTCGTCCCAAAAGTCGATTCGTCCCAATTCACATTCGTCCCACAAGTCGAATCGTCCCAGCACCACCATACTTATTTGTATATTGTATTATGGTATAACCCAACGTCGACAAAATCAAAATGGCGTAACGAACAATTACGTGAACAGTTTGTTGTTCGGATCCCCTCAAATCTGAAAAATCGACTTGCGGGAAGGATAGACTTTGGGATGAATCAACTTTGGGACGAATCGACGTTGGGATGAATTAACTTGTGGGACGAATCGACTTGGGACGAATCGACCGTCCCCCGTTGAGATAGATCTGTAAACTCTGAGTTAGGTGGCTTTGTTTACATTGTACATATAGTTATCTGAGGGACAAGATCTATCAGTGATTTCACAAAAAAGCAGGATAGTGAGGGCAGGAGTCTACTTTTAAATATTTTTTGTTTTGTTTTTAGCTAACACGCATTTTATGTTTAGCATATTCAGCATTTTTAGCATATATTAGGAGTGATGTTTTACATATTCACAAAGTAGAAATGCAACTTTCAGCATTCATTCAATGAAACACTGTCATAAGCATGTGCATTGCTTTGAAACATACAATAACAATCACTGCTTATGCAGGTTTTTCATTTGTAATTTGTCAAATAATATTGAGTGCACCACAAAAACAATATCTTTTAATCTACCATAAAT